TTAAACATATGCATCTTCTCACTCCTCAACCTTCTTTGCTTCAATGGAAAGAGTCCTAGCTTCTCTTCATAGGTTCCTCTCACCTCTTTATCATCCTTGTGAATCTATACTGCATCCCCTTTTAGCTCAAATATCCTTTTTTATTGCAATATCACAACTAAACACAGCTGAAATATTCCAGCTGTAGCCTAACCAATGCCTTAAGTTTTATCAGTTTATGAATTATGTAAAACCCAGAATCCTGTTTACCCTTTTGACTGACTTCTCAACGTGTTATCCCATTACTCTTTTCACTCTTCTATTTCACTAAAACTATTTCCTTTTTTTTTGTTGTTTGTTTTATTGGCCATAAGAGAGAGAAATATAAATGTAGTTACTGGAAAATGATGAATATTGTCCAGTGTAAATTATTTTTAATGAAAGAGTAGAAATCGTTCTGTACATAGGTGCTTGTTTAGAGTGATAGTTTACAGCACAGATGCATGCCATTTAGTATGACATGTTTATGCTGTTGCTCGCACCCTATTGGATCTACCTGCTCTAATCCTACTGCCATTGTTACCTGATGATCCTCCTATTTACCTTTGACTATGGTTAAAAAATAATTATCAGTTAATTATACCCTTATTCTTTTACTCTATTAACATAAGTACAGAGTACCTACAATACTTTGACAATAAACAAGCATAGAAAATGTGTGGCTCTTTTTCATTTTTTTCCACAGAAGGACCTCCTCCTAAAAGAAAGTTGTTGGCTGATTTTGACAGATCTATGCAGAATGATTACAAACAGCATTTAGGTCTTCGACTGGTAATCTGGAGGGTAGGTGTCCAAATTATTGCAATTTAAAAAGTGAATACTATTATTTCTACTCGATTGAATGTCATAAACAATTTTTTAAAAGCTGTCACCTTTTCCTGGTTCTTTTCATTTCTAATAGTTGCCACTGGGGAAAGCACCTCAGTGGACAGTGGGGCTATGATGAAGGTGAGGCAGGTATTTGATAATGAAGAACTGCTATCTGCTAACTGCTATCCAATTCAGCAAGAGCCACAGCTCGATGATTCAGTCACTGGAATGAAAGGCTTTCAAACAGCAAGTGGTAAGATTGTTTCTGTCTGCAAAGTATCTCTTGCCAAAGCAAAAGCCTTCTTTGCTGAGGCAGACCTTTCAATGAATGTACCAGAGACCTTTTCTACTACAGTTCCTCCTCCACATATTGGTACACAATTCATTGACGACACCATCAAAAACACAACAACAGGTCAAAATAATGAACCAGATAAAAGCAAGATTTCAGGTTCATTTTCAAACCATCTAAATCTTACTAAACAAGATGATTTTGCAATCACCAGCAAGGTGTGGGAAGGTACTGCATCTGAGCCTCCTTGCCAGGCTCTTACAGAGCATATTGGCTTCAGTACAGCAAGTGGAAAGTCTGTACAAGTTTCAGAAGAATCGTTAAGAGAATGTAAAAAACTCTTTTCTGAAATAGAAGGTAATAAAGAAGACTTTCAGAGGACCCTGGAGAAAGATTCAGTTCCTGAACAAACAAAACGGAAAACTCTGGGAAAAACCTATCATTCAGATACTGCAAGTACAAATATATCTTTTGGCTTCAACACTGCAAGTGGTAAAAGGGTTCTGTGTCTAATGATGCACTCCAGAAAGCAAAATTCAAGTTGAAAGAATTTGATGACATGAATGATGGTTCTTTGGGTAGCCTAGAATACCCAGAAGGTAAGATTTATGAAAAAACTCGAGCACTGGTATCAGAATCTAGTTTATCTACAGCTGATGATCCTTCTCTGAATGGGCATCCAACATGTACGAAACGTAGTACAAGTCAAAAAAGTCTACCAAAGAACAGCTCTGAGAGGTTTTCGGATCTGCCCGATGATTTCCAAGAAGAAGCAAATGGAAGTAAAATAAATGATGTTGAAGTTAATCCTGGCCTCTCAAAACCACTGCCAGCAAATGGACTGAATTCTAAAATCTGCATGTTTGGATTTCAAACAGCTCATGGGAAAGATGTCTTGGTGGAAGAAAGCAATTTAGCTGCAGCAAGATCTTTCCTGGCCTCTGAGAAAGAGAGTACGGCAGGTGAAAATGTTGGTGTGGCCGGGGATAGAAGTTCTAATTGTAATGCAGACAGTGTATCTGTGTTAAGAAGCCATGCACTGAAAAATGATCTGGATGCACATTCTAAAATACTGGAAAACTACATAGAAAATGAGATGCTGGAGAGTGCCAAAGCTCTGTTAGAAGATGATCCTTTTGATTCTACATCAGACTATGGAGTCCAGTCAAATGTGGAAAGTATGAATCAATCAGATAGGTCCAAGTTAAGAATGGGAAAGAGACTGAGATCTGAGGAAAAACTTGCAAAAGGTAAATAAAATGTTTAAAATACATTTAGTCCTCTTTTCAGACTCCATAAAAACGCAGTTCAGGTGGAATGAATCAATTCAGGGTTATGTTTTTCTAATGAAATTTTTTAGAAAACCAGATCAATAACATGTTCTGCCTGAATACAGCAATTAGTCTTTCTGGAAGAATAGAACATGTCCCATCGGCAACACATTGATGCCTCTGTTCTGTTTTTTTTTATTGCATTTGTTTTCTTATTGACCAAATTTGAAACTTCAGTTTGGTGAAATGGTCAAAATTCTCCAATTCGCTCCTATTTAAACAAAAACAAAGCAATCATTCCATGGAACGTTCTTTGCTTAGAAAGTTTACACCATGGAAGGAGGCAATTCAGTTCATTGTATCTATGGGATGGTAGCTTCCCAGTGGAGCTATCTGCTGTAATCTCATTCCTTTTTGTTTGCGGGGAGGGATTTGCTGGGTACTTTAATCATTTTGTTACCAAGTGACTCTTTGTTTACTTTTGCCCATAATACGACAATAATCTAGTAATTATATTTGACTGTACCTGAATATAAGCAGAAGTACCCGCTGGTACTTTACAGCCCCAAAATGAACATAGAACAGTTTATAGTAGTAGTATTAATAGACTTGGCTAGTTATAAAAAAAGTAATGTGTTATCTTTTCAGAGGGACTTCCTCCAAAAAGACAGCTGTTGGCTTATTTTGATAGAACTATTCAGAATGTTCACAAACCAAGGTTTAAGTCTTCTATAACTAACCCAGAAGGTAGGATTTTAAAATTATTATTATTTCAAGTTGCATTGTGACTGTTAAGCGCTCCGAGATGCTACCCTGTATGAAGTGCACAATATAAATACAAGTTGTTTATTGTTGTTGAATATTAGTACTTTTACACAGTAGAACTTCACTGTACAATGCTATTCACTTATCTT